TATTTGACATGGCTTGGATGATGCCGAGATAGATCACTGACGGTGTAAGAGAGGGTTACATTTGACAAAGCTTGGATGGTGCCTAGATAGATCACTGACTGTGTAAGAGAAGGTTACATTGACAAGGCTTGGATGATGCCTAGATAGATCACTGACGGTGTAAGAGAGGGTTACATTTGACAAGGCTTGGATGGTGCCTAGATAGATCACTGACGGTGTAAGAGAGGGTTACATTTGACAAGGCTTGGATGATGCCGAGATAGATCACTGATGGTGTAAGAGAGGGTTACATTTGACAATGCTTGGAATGATGCCTAGATAGATCACTGACGGTGTAAGAGAGGGTTACATTTGACAAGGCTTGGATGATACCTAGATAGATCACCCAAACAGAAAGGCATCCATTGTTCTCAGTTTAGTATTGTACTTCATTGACTCAATGTTGTTATATTAATTTATTCTATCCCATTTCAGCTATACATTTCAGAAAGTTCAAGACAATTCTGAGACAATCTGGAGGTTTTATCGTTATGAATTAATCAGCGAGTATCATGACCGACCAACACTAGCACCACCACTGATTATCATCAACCATGGTTACAGAATGGCTAGATATCTCTATCATCAAATAAACCTCAAGGTTGAATTAAACGGTAGAGAAAATTTCTCATGATGCCTTCTAGTAAAACTGTATTTCACACAAGCTGACCCACAAGACAATATTTTGAATACATGATATTATTAGCGGTAAAAGCAACATAAAAAATAAAACCAATAAGCAATTTGTTTTAAAATGAGACACATGTTATTCATAGAATGCATCTAAAAAAATAATTTCTATAGTCCCAATTCCCAGTAATGTTGGTTTTCAATAGGACATGAAGTCCCAGACTTTATAATACTCTAAACGGCTTGTTTGAGTATTATATAATTAGTCCCCGTTCGGACGAAGTCCGAAAACGGGGACTTATAATTCGGTGTCCGTGCGTCCGTCCGGAGTCATATCTCAGAATCCCTTGGACCGATTCCGTTCATTCTTTGCATGTGCCTAGTACTTTATGTGGGACATATGCACATGAAGTGGTTTAGCGATTCGATTCAAAATGGCTGACTGGCAGCCATCTTGTTTTTTGAAAATGTTGTATTTTGGACATGCTTTGTCAGTTTTCATTCAAACTTGGTACATAGATTATACATGTTAGGACACATGTCCATGATGATTTATTTCGCAATTGGATCAAAGATGGTCGACTGGCAGGCATCTTGTTTTGTTTTTTTATGCGGTATCTTGGATGTGCTCTGTCAGTTTTCATTCAAATTTGGCACATACATGTACTTTATACATGTTAGGATGCATGTCCATGACAATTTGTTTCAAAATCTGGTCAAGGATGGCCGATTGACAGCCATCTGACTTTTTGGCCTTACAACTATATTTCCACAATTTATGTACCATTTTCATTCGTATTTGGCACATACATCATACATATCAGTGTGTTTCATAATCAGATCAAAGATGGCTGAATAACAGCTGTTTTTATTTTGGCCATATTACTATGACACGAAACATGTGTTTTGATGTAAATAAACAATCTGTTGTATACGCCACTTGGAACTCACGTTTCAAGGACACGCTCGCGACAACCCTCTCCGCTTTAATATGACGAGCACAAAGAGAACTTAACGAGGACTGTGTCATTTTCAATGACTTGTTTTAAATAAGTTTTAAGTTTGATGAATACTTTCCTGTTTATTTCACAGAAATTGAAAATATGCATAACAAGAAAAAAGAAGAAAAAGACAAGAAGAAAACTGAAATTAAAAATAAATTTGACAGAGACCAATCACATACATTGAGTAAGTACTGTTGTCACTGTGTCCATAAATTTGTATTTTGTCATTAATGTACATGTGACAAGCAAACAAGGCAGGTTTTATCTTGCATTCATATTTCAAAGTTTTGAAATTAAATAAATGCATTTACAGATTTAGGCTAAAATACATAACAATTTACATAACAAGGCACAAAGTATGCAAGAAGGAACTACAGGGATTGTATATATAATAGTAGATTGTTGCATATTGACACAAAATCAGTACTAATTTAATTTACTTTTGATCATTCAACGTTCAGGAGTGTGTTTAGATGAGAGACTTGAAGATTACTTGAATTCATTTGAAAGGAAATGCATGGGGAATTATTTCATCAAAATAAATCAAGAATATGTTCAGTCTTGGGAAAGTACTGTGTCTTCCACTGGAGAAAGGTAACCCTCAGACAATATTTGATATTGGTGTTGTCCACAAGGTATGGCACATCAAGTCTAGATACATAGTACCTCTATAATAGTACACAATGAAGTCTTTGAACAGGTCACAGGATATTTAACCCTGTGACAACAGTGAGAATTATAAAAATGACATCACTACATTCATTGACAGTATTGGTGACATACCAGCAGGACTATTATAGCAGTTTAGTAGTTAAATATTAAATACATGTCATAGGATAGATAGCTAGTATGTGAATATTTGGCCTGAGCTGAGGGTCATATGACCAAAAGTGTATAGATTGTATGATTCATTGGCAATATTTTTATTTGTTTTAGATTAGTTAAAGTAATGCATGAAGTAGAAGAAATGAAGGAATCATTTTACGATAGCAAAAATGTACAGCAAGATGGTCGAGGTGATAGGAAAGATGTACAGCAAGATGGTCGAGGTGATAGGAAAGATGTACAGCAAGATGGTCGAAGTGATAGGAAAGATGTACAGCAAGATGGTCGAGGTGATAGCAAAGATGTACAGCAAGATGGTCGAGGTGAGAGCAAAGATGTACAGCAAGACAGGCGAGGTGATAGCAAAGATCCTCAGATGTCATTTGTCAGTCATCAAATGGGTCAGATGAATGACAGAATTGGAGGTCTAGAATTGAAAATGGGGAAAATAGAAACAGACATGAAAAAAATGTTACAGATCTTAGAAGGGAACTCACAAGCTCTTCTACCATAGAATGTTTTTGTAATCCGTCCATCTGTTCAATATTATTCCCTTGGTATTTTTTGGACAAGGCAGTTAAATTCTAAAGTATAAAAGTATAATTAGATCTGTTTAATCATTGTTTAATCAGATATTTTATTTTAAACCTACCAGATGTAAATCATTTTTACATTGCCTGTAATAATATTACTGTTGTAAGATATACAGATATTAGATATCTAACTTGTTTTGTTTATTTTAACACTTTTATTACATTTTATAAACCAAAATAGATATGTAATTTATTCTATAAGGTTGTAATAAAGAATTATCTTATCTTATCTTATCTTATCTTATCTTATCTTATACTACCTCATATTACAAGAATACCTCAAAGTATGCACGAAGACAGTACAGCTGGAGTATCGACCAACACGCAGTGGAGGTCGATGTGCGACGTACTGTCTGAGTGCATACTTTGAGGTATTCTCATAATGACCTTATTATTATACATCTAAAAATTTTCCTTCCAAGGATACATCATGGGAATGCCAGAATCCAAAAAGGTTAGAACAGAATCAGCGAACTTCTTTGTGTAGAGTCCGGTCAAACCCTGATGACAGCCATGTTTTTTTTTATTATTAGAGGACACTCACGCAGGTAATCATTCCATATTTGAAATTTGCATTTCCTTATATAGTAGGATGAATATACCCAAAAATACCCGCAAAATTATGGCATGCTGTATCTTATGGCGTTAGAGTGGCAGATGTATAATAGTAGCTATGTATGTCTTTGTTGCTGTTATCACAGTGCATATACAATCTATCAAAATTTGGTAAAATGTCAATACATTGTATTTGTATATGCTATATTTTTAATAAATATATCATATTTTATGTTATAATTCACCTAACATTAATTCAGATATTTTAATACAATAAAGTTATATTTTTTTTATAACAAACTTGATAATTACAATGTAAAATAATTTACTTTCAAACTTGTTCCACCTTGCAAGTTGAAATGTCATCAGTAATGGATTTTGTATGAATTATTGATATACCGATAATAACTGGAATCACAATTTTTTTTCTTTTCTGCAAAAAAGTATTCCAAATAATTTTTCACACATTCCACTTTATATTAAACAATATTGTATATAAGTGTAATCCAGATTTTGCTTAATATTATATTGATTTTATCAAAATGTGTCTCAAATTGTGTGTGTTAATTCAAAATTAAAATGTACTTGGTTCTCCAGTCATTTGATTTGCAGCTGAGGGGTTGTCACTTGTGCGTATGAGTATTCAGTGCCAAGCAACAATAACAACGCATATTAAAACTCATGAGTAGATGCTTGTTTGTAAGACACACTATGCACTAAGTGACATGTTTCATTTTTTCACTGACTACTCCTCATTTCCATGTACCTGTAAATACAAAATCCATTACACTAAAATGAGAATTTTTAGCTGTCTGTGTGTGTCTAAAACTAAAAGACTTTCTTGTGCATTGGGGATGGAGTACGTGGTGGCATTTCAGTAGGGACAGGGATTTTCCATGAGACAATAGCAATTGCTTCATATCATTCATCATGACAATTTAATTCATGGTGGCGGAATGGTGGCCATTTTGTTTTAAAGAATGCAATGTTTTCTTGACCTATCAGCAAGTACCACTGTCTAATGTTGCGTGAGTGTGCTGAAAAGTTGCCTACAATAATCACATGGGTCTAGATGATGTGAGCAACCTTGATGAAGTCTGTGTGCTATTTAGCACCTTTAAATGAATGCCCTAACATAGTTATTCTCAGTGATGTTCCTACACAAACTGATTGTTAGACATAGTGTGCCTTATATCTTTATTAGAAAACATACTAATTGAGTCATAGATGGATAAAAAAAATTAAGTGTGTCTGCAAAGACACCAGACTGGTGATAGACATAGTCAACTTTGGTGGCTATGATTCCTCTCATTGTCTAACTTGTCTTTTGGTGTTTTAAAGGTGAGTACTTTGAACAGTGAAAACAAATCTCAAACTTCCATGTATATATAACTTAAAAAATATCATTGTACACTGCAATATAAACATACGGTATATTAATGTAATATTCTTTTTATATCTTTATTGTAGGTATTAAAATAAAGGTTACTTGAGACTGTATTACTGCGTGCTGTCTGTTATATATTCACTTACATGTACTTTAACAGTAGATGTTCATAGTGTCGTATACAAACCACAAATGCTTATCCGGAGTCTGCAACAAGATTGTAGAGAAAGTGACGCTTCTAGAGCAATCTGTGTAGATTCATAGAACTGTTCATATGAACCCCCATGGACAAGAAATATTGCTATTAGTGCACCGCTACCTAATAATGCGCTGCCATGGAGCAACCACTCCTCACTCTACTTTTACTTTACTCACTTATCTGACTGACCTGGACTGATTGAATTCACTACATGTACACATACATTTATATTGCTAACAATAAATACACAATAACAATGCATTTCAAAACATGCATCACGTGATACAAACTACTATATGCAACTAAAAGTAACAAATCAATTTTTGTTCCATTCTTGAACTTTTTTCATCTCAGAGATGATTTAAGATGCCATCAACAACATTTGATCAATCTGATATAATTGCGAATGTTTTTATTTGTAAAGAAATATGTTTGGTAGGTTATCACACTCTCAGCAGAAGTTTGTTCAACCTATAATTATTGTTATTTCAACAGTTTCTATGAAAAGACAAATTAATTATAATATCAAATCTATTTTTTTAAATTTTGATGATTGGTTCCTTAATTCATAATAACAATATCTGCAATTCATACACATAATATTCAAATTTATGTGTTACATTACAAACACTAATGACTGAATTGAAAAAAAAAACAGCAAACACAAGCTTAAAATCATTATTGAAAGAAAACACATTTATACTAGTCTATGTGAATGGCCAATATTTTCTTCCAGTTTGGCCATTCTTTCATTTAATTGTGACATAAATTGTAATAATTTCTCTTCTGTGTCTGTCCGTTCATTCTGTGTTGAAATAGTAGAACTGTTGCTAGGGAGTTCTGTTGCCATGGGAATGTCTTCAATCGCTTCCTTCAATTCTTCTACTTGTTGTTTTACTTCTTCCAATCTACAAAATGGTAATATTAAATATAAGACTTGTAATGATGTTAATAAAGCTATAGTTATCATTGAGGTTATAACACAATTGGTGCTACAAATGACATGAAACACAATTACATAAAAGCCAAAAGCTGGAATACGAGAGCAAACAAATCGACTTTGCAGTTAAACTTTGACAATAAAATTAATTGTATGTAATTAATTTTTTTTTCAAAATCAGCTGTCAAACTAACATTCTTAGTTCTAAGTTAATTAATGTCAACGAGATAGATGTAGTCAGTCTCAAATAGATAGAGTAGAACCTGCTAACCTGTCAGCATTAGATGAAACAGTATTTTCAATAGACTGAATATCTTCTTGTCGTAACTTAGAAAAGTATTTCTCCATACATCGTTTCTCAAAACTGTTGATGTAATGTTCCTCTTTTTCATCCAAACACACATCTAAATTTGAACCATATCAAAAATACATTAAATAAAAACCAAACGAATTTTCTAATTGAAATGATGGACATATACTCACTCAGTGCATGTGATTGTCTTTTATCATTTTCATTTCGTATTTCTTGGTTTGTTCTATTTCCCGGATCTACAAAAACAATCAGCTCATTTAAAGAAAAACAAAGTATTTTCAAAAACATTATTTTCTACATACAAGTTTTGATAACAGCAGTTACCATATTTGTATCCATTAGTATGTGAAATATACTCACATTTCAGATTATATCGTAGTCTCATCTTTTGATATGCAAATTTGACAAGTCTATATACATGACTGAGTATGATAAAAGGGGGTGCCAGTGTCGGCCTCTCAAAATATTCAGCGATTACCTGGCAGCGAAAAAACCTCCAGATTGTCATAGAATTATCTTGCACATTCTGAAAGGTGTAACTGAAAATATACGGTAATATTATGTTAATGGTACAATCCTACACCAATGTACAGTATACTCCCTATAAGCATGACGTCTATCTTCAATTCATCAATCAAATATTCGTTTAATTATTTGCATTATTGTTCGATGTGTTTCTATTCATCTATAATAATGTCCGTCTGACAAGCAATACATTAAGATATACTGACCTGAACATAGCAATTAATAGGTTGATAAGTAATATATTAGCAATCATCAAATAGATGGCAATTAACAATGGGATAACCCATCCGTACATTTGTGTATCCACACACATCGCTGTACCATTGAATGTACCGTTTACCTGCTCCCCATTGTAATAGCATGTCTCATTGGTCACTTGGTCTGAATATATAAATTGGTGAATCTCAATTAATTATTGATAATTTGAGTGTAAATAAAGGCAGTAACTGACTTAACTGAAAAAACGGGACTTTATTTATTTACTTAATATGTCCAGGCTCTCTTTTTATTTATTTACTTAATAAGTTCTCTCTTTTCGATGTAAAAAGCAAAAACAGAATTAGAGATCGTTTTGAGTTGGCAATTTGTGAAATAAGAACTGACCTTCAATTTCATCTAGGAATAGCCATCCATAAAGTTGCCAGTGTGGTCGATAAAGTGAGGTCCAGAGAACAGATATATGTGGGTCTTGGTTTGGTGTTAATAGGGCCTGAGTAGCATAACCAAAGCTCAATAGAAATATCACTAATATAACCACGAAATGTAAAAGATCTCTGAGCTGAAACAAAATTCATCAGAACAGGGTGAGTATTTAAATAATATCTCGTTGAAAAACAAAACATATTTTATTTATGATTATTCATATTTACCATTTTATAGATCATAATAATCTTTGGTCCTATATTCTGTGCAACTAAGGCCATGTGAAGAAGTCGAAAATAAAACAACATCAATGAAATGCTGTACGTTATTCTGGCATATTCAAAATTCTCCACAGATATCAAGAATCGTAGACAAACAGCTACTATGTACAAAACAAACATGGCGATGTCGAATTTGTTCCAATGTTCTGAAAACCAACTTATTATTTTGTACTTCAATGACTTCGATTCACGTCCGAGCACCTGGTATAACAAAAACATGAATTAATGAGAAGCATTCATTAACAATGAACTAGTGTCATTAACCTTTGATAAAATAGAGTCAATGTGGTTTCCCTCTGTCTCTCACCGAAAAAGGATGCTTGAATGCACAGAGCACACCGAATAGTAGGGGTACTCCAAGTCAGACCTGGTATCCATGTTGAAGTATAGCTTTTCAAAAAAAACTTTGAACACGTACTTATTTTCGTGAAATTATACCCCATTTCAAGTGCAGAAACTTAAAATAGATAACCTATATACATACTAAAATCATACTGTTTCCAAGTTGAGGTAACATTGATTCATGAGATTCTTTTTTTCACACTAATCTGTGTTACTATACGCGTCAAATAAATAACACCCTTTTTACGCGTTTGTTTTTTTTACTTCAGCTTGCGTACCATATTTTATTCAGAGAACCCTCCCCGGGCTTATAATTCGGTTGTAGTACAATGGTGAACTAACAAGAAGTGAGTAATCGAAAAACTATATATATGTACAGATGAAGGAAAACTTGATGGTCTGCATGGCATTCTAATTACATAACTCGCGTGCAGCTAGGCGATTTGGTTCGAATCACACATGAATTTCTCATATATCCCATTACGTTTCTCGCGAGTTATTTTCTCATGTTATAATTCTATGTTGTCAATCATGTTTCCATTCACTCATCTATTCGAGGATAGATGTACTAGTGTTACAGTAGTTGTAGGAAGAGTATAGTTGTAACGACTTTTAATATACATCATGTACACATGTTCGAGGACAAATCTAGTACAGTACATGTTCAAAAATACACTCAAAATAAACCTCCCTGAACTATATAACATTCTTGCATTTCATTTTATTACTATTATCGTGTATTTGTTATTTATGTGTCTACCTTTCATTGTCAGTTGTAATACTGTGCATTAGTTTGGAGCTGTATACAAATTTTAATTACTGGTACTAGTCAAAAAGATCTGACTAGATTAGCTGTTTAAGATATTTTCAGTTCCTTTTATCAAATTATTTTTTTTTCTTTTGATATCTATATCTTTCACTACTTATTTATTTCATGATAAATATCGGTTTATTGTTATTAATACATTTGAATAATAAAGATCATTTTTATTATGTTTATTATATTATACTAGGGGACACGAGCACATCCTGACTATGGTTACTTTCATTAGATATGCAGCTGCGTGTACAATCGTAACCAACACAAATATATGTGTGTATAGTTGATATACCACAACATAGAGATTCCAGGACGCATCCTCAGTGGAGTTAGAGAAGGAGATATCAAACCTGTCTCAATTCTTCGATAATCAACGTAGAAATCCATATCATGACTACATATTCTATGACGCCGGGTGAGTTTGGCAGACCAGATGGTCTTAAATCAGTCAGGAGAAACCAGCTGAACATTAAGAGCATCACGATGTAGGCAACCTTCAACAAATACAATAATACAATACTATGTGAGGTTTATATATAT